GGCGAAACCACGGATGATGCCACTGAAAGGAACGTTTCACAAGAAACAAAGAGTCAATTGATGAATCTACGTTACGGTCGACCAGCAGATGGAAATGATGTGAAAATGATAATGACGTTGGAATATTTTTTAGTACATCATCACTTTTGTGGTTTTGGATTTCAAACCTAGGTGTCGCATGCACTGGTGCAGTTTCGCGTAGATTCATCAATTGATGAATTTATGCGAAACTGCACCAGTACATGCGACACCTAGGTTTGAATTCCAAAACCATAAAAGTGATGATGTACTAAAAAATATTCCATACGATTTGCCAGGTAGCAAAACGTAATTATCATTTCCACATCATTTCCATCTGCCGGTCGACCGTAAGGTAAATTCATCAATTATTCGGGTTCGGGTTGATATGCTCGGCAATCAAAGTGTTTGGATCATTCTGTCCGTGACCTCCGCAGGGAGTCGTAGCAACCGGTGGAAACTAACGATTTTAAATTGGCTCACTACTTGACTAGCCTATTGGTCCCAAGAAAATCGATTAACGTACCCCATTCTAGTATAAATTCCAGTACTACACAATGTTTGTTTTGATTCGCTATGAAAGTTTGACAGATAAAATGAGGGGTTCGTGGATGTTCCTATGTTTCGAGGGTGCACCGATTAGCTTGGGACCGAAGATAGTACAAGAGCTGAGCCAAAAAGTTGAGCCCGTTTCTTCGGGACCTACTAGTATTAGAGTTACCTCTATGGTCGTAGTGCGCGCGGTTGTTAATTTAAAATCATTCGTGCGATATTTGCATGTGGTGAAGGTTAGTTTAAAGTTTGCTTCTCTAGATAAGGGACAGTTCGTGGAACGAACTGTTAACTTAGGCTAGTGATTAGAGAGCTGAATAGGAAGAAATACAGTTGCTAGAAGGAGGAGAAACGAGAAAGGATTCGGGAAAAGGTAAATTTTCTGTTCTGACAAACAAAATCATTGGTAGTGGGAGAAATTGTGACGTCCATGTAGTAACTGGAGAGGTAGGTCCATCTACTGGGCCTTTTTCTGCTTGTTTCGATCAAAGTCCGTTATTATCTTCCCCAGCGGAGGTCATTTGAGGACAACGGAGACCGAGAGGACTGAGGCGGCCCAGCTTCCTTCCGACCGAGCGGCTGAAGAAAGACACGTGGTGTTGAAAGCACTACTCTAGTCGACGCCATTCTACCGGAGAACCCATCCACTGCCTGTTCCATCACGATCTGCATTCCCCGGTCGGTCCCAAGCATCGCCGCCGTATCACGGGCGGCCCAATAGCCACCGCCATCGCTATTCCACGGACAGTCCCGGCATCACCACCGGTTCAAGGATAATCTCTGCAACACCATTGTCGCCTAACGGCCAAGCACCACCGTAGCTTCACAGGCGAGCTAAACATCATCGCCGTTCCACGGGTTATTCAAACCACGTTTTCATCGCGTCCAAGGTTCGTCCCGCCTTAGGAGCCAAGTACCGCATCGCCGCCGCCCAACGGGTGAGCATAGCATACTAGCAGCGTAGCCTTTCCGCGAACGCACGAGCTAGCCCCTCCATCGAGGCCCGCCATACTATTATTATCTCCTTACGGGTGAGAACGCCATCTTTGTCGCCATGGGAGCGATCGCTGCATCATGATTATGAGGTAGAGGAATGATTCCTCTATCATTTGGTATAGTTTTTTCATGATATTGAGTTTTAATTCAAGAGAAATTAGCAATTTGTTTACAAAAGCAATTACGGCCAAATTTCAAATCTGTCCAGAATTGTGAGATTTGTGCTATTAGTGACCCTGGTGTTAGCGAGTTAGTTTTAAGGGATACCATTCTTTTGAAATAGCGTGTAAAGTTCTGAACCATTTGTCGGTTTTTTTTTTTAACTTTTGGTTAAATTTTGACCCGGTGGGGGGGGGGGGAAGTGACTGTCAAATACGAACAATCGTCGCCTACCTCGCCTCCAAACGACAACAAAGCCATAAGTAAAAAGGTTATCTCCGAGGGGGACGAAAGTCCCAGATTTATTCAAATGTTGCCAAAACTAGTTCGAAAGTTCAATTAATCGATTCATAGTCGGACAAATCCATTGTATCGATTATATCGGATATAATCGAGCTTAAATCTCTAAAAACGGATATCTGTTTCTATCGTTCACATCTCTGTTAAAGGATCACATCTCTATAATTATCAGGACAAGTAAAGGTGACACCCGTTTGTTTATAAGAAGGGAACATCGCGAAATCTCGACCAACAATACAACAAGGCGAATAAGCTTTTGTAATCAAACTTTTAATGCTCTTTCCTCGTGAACCGAAGCTTGCCTTGTCAAACCACCAGCACCATCAGGAAGGGGGAATTCTCTGCTATTCGATAGTGGTGTTCGATTGGATAGATGAGCTTCGGTATGCGAGATAAGGTCATTACAATTTATTTGATCCGCCCTTCTGTATTGTTGGTTGAGCTCGAAAATCTATGTTCTAAAACAAATCTACAGATAGAGCTGGAAGTATTGCGTAAAGTGGACCCTACACAGTTTGTAATGACAATAATCGTATTGTCAATACATTTTATATTGACGTCAATACATCGGTATTGAAAATATTTCTGTATTCACATCATCAATATTATTGTCAATACTTGTAAGTATTGACAGTATTTCTTACCGTGTGGGGTTCGCTTAACAGCTTTTGTAAACAATGACTTCTCTCGATGATTACTAGGAATTCAAGGCACGCCCACACAAACCAACATAACCATCATGTAAAGGAAGTCTTCTAGAAATATTTGAAAAAGAGGAACTGCATTCATTAGGCCTATTCTGCGCGGCGTGTGAGGTGAGATGACTCGCTGTCACTAGTGAAGTGACAATTGTCACCTCGGGTGAGGTGATTCTCCGTTTGATTTGCATGGAGACTCACCTCACCCATTGTCACTTCTCCATCCCTTCGTCACTTCACCTCACACGCCGCGCAGAATAGGCCTACATCTTTGCCTTGGGTATAGTCGCTTCAAGATCACGGACTATGATTTGGACTACCCTGACATCCGGTGAACATAAGCATCGATACGGCATCTATGGTTTGGTCAAGTTTGGCCATCAAGCTTGAAGGGTTTGAAACAATCACAAAAGCAGGTGCCCAGGAAAATACGCTACACACTAAAAATAATATCAGCATAATGCTCGATAATTCTAACACATTCAAGATTATCGATGAATAGTGGATGAAATCGGTTTATTCAAAGCAAATTCGAGAAATTCAGCAAATTTTATTTAAATTCGTTAAAAGAAATATAGAACAGATTACTTTCGTCCCCCTCGGTTATCTTCCATTTAATTCCACTAAATTCCACTGTCATTCCCACTAAAGAACTCATCAAAACCTAAATTTGAAGATCACAAGTATGAAAATTAAACTACAATGTGTAGAATCGGAACCTACCTAACTAAAAAACCAAAGATTTAAGTAAACTAAAGGAGAAAAATCGATGCAAATCACTAATAAGGAAAAAAAATCCCAAAGGCTTGGTAGCCACCATAATGAAGTAATGAAATTGGGTTGTTACTTCACGATTTGTTGGTGTTTGGAACCAAAGTCACGTATAGAAAATGAATTAGCGTAAACAGGTGTGGCCCAGTAAATTTGTTGTCTCTTTCGTTCTCCAGCCGATTAAATGGATGACGGAGTTTGACGTCACACTCCTTCAACCATTTAAAGAACGGGAGAACGATAGAGATGACAAATTCACTGAGACGTGTTTAATCATCTCATTGATGAATTTTCAGTAGGCCGTTGCACATTCCGCCCCTGATTTGGCTTCTTTTTTTATCTGGGACGTGTTCTTCTTCTCTCGCGGAAACGACCTTGCAAAAACTATTTCATTATGGGCGACGCCGTCGACTGTCAAAACACAAGAAAATGGTTCAGTAAATCGATATTCGACCGAAAATATATGAGTGGGCAATCTTAAGGATTATGCCGATCTTGTCCGTTTTGACTTACTTCAGATGCAGCTGAGATGATTGCCCTGAGCAATGATGACATTTGCGGATCCTGTGTTGGTGCCGCTACGGAATTCAACATTCTTCGGATCCCGGTAGCAACATAAAATGAAAATTTCTGGTGACTCATCCCGAGTTGCTTCCACCGGCAAGGTATATGATTCGTTCATCATTTTCCCCTTTAATACAAAGAACAAAATGTGTAAATTTTTTCTTAGAAATATGCAATATTTGTAGATTTTTCTAAAATCTCCATGCTACAAAACAGAATTATCCACCACCGATGGGCTGGCATCTGTTCAATTTGATCGAGGAAAGTAGTACCCTATTTTCTCCCCCTTGAATAAAGCCTATAGAACCTAGCCTCTTCCAGATTTCAATAGGCAATCAAACCGGAATTCCCGCTTTCCAACAATAAGGAAACACAAATCCAGCAGGAAAGAGTAGCTACACTCTTTCCATCAACAGCAACAAAAAAATACCTCCGCTTTTGATTCGATCGGCTCCGTTCATCGGCCCGCAATTCAATCAGTCCTCCATCCAACCCCATAGATTCAATTTCAAACACGTCAGAGCAAATGTATACACATTGGCAACAGGAGTGAAGTGAATTTCCATGAAAAAGTTCATTCCGAAGCCGTTCTATTATGACTCAAGCAGTTCCTGCTGCTGCCCCATGCACGGGAACTACAATCCGACAAAATTGCTGCCAACACCTAACGAAGTAAAAACTCACTTTGCATAATTTCAACCTAGTTTTAAAGTACCTTCCCCCGGTTGGAGTGGAGTCCATTCCAGATTATTTTATTTTTTTCATCGAGCTCCGCAGTGTGTTTGTTGTTTGGTGACAAGCTTGTTGTTTAGCACTTTGATAGTTTTATCAAAATAGTTTTCCCGTCCCCCACCCCTGCGCGCACTACCGAGGGCTGTCACCAGCGGTGGCCCTGGCACAGCCAAATCAGAACAAAACACTGCATGCAGCGCAGCGTAGAGGTTAGGTTGGTCGTAAAGTTTTATTATTGTTTCACAGCGAGTGAAAATTTGTCTCCTACAGAAGTAATTATCAGTTTGTGTAAAGCTCAGTTCTATGTACAGAAAAGGGGAAATTTTTCTACTGCTAACGAGAGAAAGTCACGCAAGTTTACTGCAACCGATTGGGCAGCGGCAGGTCACAGATGGCGTTGTGCGACGGAATTGCCGCAATGCCAGCCAGTGCGATACCGACCGAATCCGAAATGGAGGTAATCATCATAGCATACTCGCGCCGTGCCTCCGGGACTTCGATCTGCATCCGGTAGAAGGTGTTAACGTAGCCTCCGCCACCGAGAAGACCTTCCCACAGAATCAGCACGAAGATGATCCAAATCGACGGGCTAAACATGTAGACGGCTTCGAACGTGAAGTAGATCACGTTGACAAACTGCAGCACAGCCATGATCCAGACGTGCTTGAACTGGACAATGTTAACGGATGAACGGGAGACGAAAACGCCGATCTGGTACAGGACCTGATACCATCGGTATTGCGCCGACTGATCCAGGGTGCTGTCCGGGAAGTAGACTAGTTCGAACTGGAATTTGAAAGACATTGAGGTAAACAAAAGAAGACGATTGGCACGTTTTATCGCTTACCAGTCCCTGGTTGATGAAATACTCGAACAGGTACACCATGATGAGCGGGATCATGTAGATGAACAGCGATGGAATGTAGTTGATTTTCTGCCGCCAGTTCTCCAGTGGGCGCTCGTTCTCCGGAAGGGCGCTGTAGTCCACGCCAGGTTTCGCGTTCTCGGGATTCACTTCCTGCGGATCGCGGCTCGTGTCTTTTTGGCGCAGCAGGAGCCAGAACGAGGCGGCTTCGAGCGCAGGAACTACCAACATGACGAGCATGGTGGCCTTCGGCGATAGACCAATCGCGGTAAGGCCGGTGTACGACAAGGCACCAATCACTCCGGCACCCCCTGTTCCGGAAGACCACGTCGAGATGACGTTCCTGTAAACGAAGGATTATAGTATGACGGCACTGGATAATGTGCAGGTTGCTTACTTGTTGAAGTAGCTGGCATAGGCAAGGAAGGTGGCTTCACCGAGACCCGAGCTGAACGAAGTACAAATCACACCGAGGAACAGCATCCAATCGATGTTGGCAAATGCCACCAGGAGGAATCCGGCCGCAGCCAGCATAATACAGGCGGATACTCGAACACTGCAATAGAAAGGCTTCGATCAATTTGCATCCTTTGAAGTACACGAACCTTCACAATGCATACTGTTTCCACAGCGGCAAGAACGATGCAACCAGTTTCACGGACAGGGCAGGCAGGATGTCGGCCAGCAGGATTGCACCCGTGGACAGTTTGTTGCAGGGCCGTTTGTCATAGGCGAAGGTGAATGCGTCGTCCGACGAGCGAAGAAGGGTCGAATTGGCAACGCTGTATTCGTTCTGCGGAAGAAGAAAATTGGGATTGATATGTAGTCTTATTTGTTTGATATAGTTAATTATAGTCACTTAGTAGGACATGTCACGAATGACCCAATTGTGTTATTGGGTCATTCGTGACATGTCCGGTGATGAGGTTTGAACTCGTGAATCAGTATGAGAAAAAGTTGTTGGCGTTATTTCTCGAATACTTTTTCGAAGGGACGTATCAGCTTTTGTAAACAATGTGGAGTGACAATGAGCACACCTTCATATGTAATGTGCATTGGCACCATTGGCACACCCCTCATCGATTGCTATACCTCCGTGAGCGCAAGGTACGAAAGAGAAGAAGAACACAGTGACAATGAAACCGCACTAATATCGACTGAGTAATCGTTGCTCTAAGACTGTATAACGTTTCACCTGAATAAAACGTTTTCCATTAAAAGGCATTTTCTCCGCGTGTGTTTAATCTGATTCCGAAAGTCCTCACCTGTGTGTCCACTGTCCGCCCAATCTGCCATCAGGATATGGGCCCAGGATAGATCGGAAAAGTTGAAAACAGAAAATTTTTCGGGAGTGCGCGTTCCGTTGTTGTTTTTTCCGCTGCAAGCGATGTTCGGCCGGGAGAGCTGAAAAAGTGCGCGTCATTCGGTTCTGGAAAATTTGGTTAGTTTTTTCTTCCATTCGCGGAAAGACAAAAGTTGCCCTCTGGAAGTGAGGTTATAACCAGAGGGGTTTGCGTGTGAGACACGAAGATTGTTTTTTGTTTGTTTACGAGTGCATGCGTTTGTATCTCGGTTTGTGTTACAATGGTCCACGCAAGATTTGCCATCCCGAAATTGAACGGGCAGAACTGGCAAACGTGGAAAGTGAAGTTGGAAATGTTGCTTTGTCGAGAAGATATTTGGAACGTTGTAGCCGATGATGTTCCGGCCGAAGCAGACCGTACCGCAGCTTGGAACAGTGCTGATCGGAAGGCAAAGGCAACGATCGTGTTGTTGTTGGAAGATAGTCAACTGACTTTAGTGAAGAGCAGTGTACATGCGCGGGATGCTTACCACGCATTGAAGGCATACCATCAGAAGACGTCGCGTTCTGTTCGCGTATCGCTCCTGAAAAGGCTGTGTTCGTTCAACCTCGTGAAAGGCGGTAATTTGGAACAACATCTGATCGATATCGATGACCTTTTCGATCGTCTCGATACCACCGGAACAGTGCTTGATAAGGATGCAAAAATTTGTATGATGCTGAGAAGTTTGCCCACATCATTTGATCATCTGGTGTCTGCTCTCGATAGCAGGTCGGACGATGACATCTCGATTGACGTCGTCAAGGCTAAGCTTATGGACGAATACCATCGAAGGCTTGAGCGGGAAGGTTGTACCTCGAGTAGGTCAAAGGTCGAAAGAGCGATGCGGTCGTCCGACGGTAAGCAGAACGACAAACGTGTGTGTTACTTCTGCAAGAAGGAAGGCCATATGATTCGCAATTGCAGAAAGCTACTAGACGTGAAGAAACACGGGGAACATTCTGCGCCAACCGGCGGCAAGGGCGGTGGTAGTGCAAAGGGTGGTGAAGGTCGAGGTGGTCGAGGTGATGGTGCAAAGGCGAAAGCGTCCCACGGTGAACCACGGAATGTAGCGTTCACTACTGAAGAGGGCGAGCAATCTGCGTGGATCATCGATAGCGGGGCAAGTGCCCACATGACGAACAACAGAGCGTTCTTCACTTCGCTAAAGGAGTTTTCCAGCGGATGCATTAAAGGGTGTCCACGATGAAATTGCCACACACAAAATTGATTCGCAAAATTCGAGTTTTCATCCGATTGCCATCAAATTTTCAGGAATTGAGAAATAACTATTAAACTTCATTTTACCATTTTACTCGTATTTTATTTACAGTCCATACGCAAATGCCCGCACCTTGGCCTTAACTCGGCCATAAGATTCTGCACAACCTGTGAATCAACCGTTTTTTGCATGTAAACCCATACTTTCTTCAGTTCCTCGACTGTCTTCACTACCTTAGGTCGTTTAAGAAGGTGCTGCTTCATAATCGCCCAGTACTTCTCGATGGGGCGGAGCTCCGGAGTGTTGGGAGGGTTGAACATTTTCGGCACGAAATTGACCTTATTGTCCGCATACCACTTCAGCACGTCCTTGGAGTAGTGGCATGAGGCCAAATCCGGCCAGAAGATTGTTGGGACGTTGTGGGCCTTCAGGAGAGGAAGCAGCCGCTTCTGGAGGCACTCTTTTATGTACACCTGTCCGTTCATCGTGTCCTGGGTCACGAAAGGTGCACTCCGCTTCCTGCACGTGCAGATGGCTTGCCAAACCAGGAATTTCTTCGCAAATTTGGACATCTTCTGAGTGCGGACATGCTCCGGCATCCCTAACGGAGGCGTTCGGATTTCGGTTGAAGGCCCCAACTACGCGGTTGTGATTTTTGGTGTTGTACGGAATACTTTTTCCTTCACTTCTGGGCTTCCGATCGGTGGTCAACCGTTCCTCGAACCGCTTAATCACTCGCGACACCGTGGAATTCGCGATTCCCAACGTTTTAGCGATGGAACGATGCGAGAGATCCTTGTTCTCGTGATGAATGCGCAAGATTTTATCACGCACGAGCTGTTCTTTCGACTCCATTTCCGCGAGTTTTGATCACAGGACTTTAAAACTTGCAGGATGTAAATAATGCACTATGAACTAAATCCAACCAAATTTTCATTAAATTCTACCCAACGGTTAAAAAGTTAGAGCAATTTCATAGTGTGGCAATTTCATCGTGGACACCCTTTACACTGGCGGACGGGAAGCAAACACAAGTGCTTGGCGAAGGAAGTGGAGTGTTGTTCGGCCTCGATGGCGAAGATGAAATTGTGAAGATTGACATGAGTGGTGTGAAATTCGTGCCTGGACTGTCTACGAGCCTAGTTTCTGTGGGTAAATTGGCACAAAAGGGACTAAAAGTGTTTTTTGATGAAGCAGGTTGGCAGATCGTTGACGAGAAGAAAACCGTTATAGCGAGTGGAGGTCGCTATGGTGGTTTGTATCACCTAAAGGTTGCTGGTTTATCGATGAAGGCTTCTGTGGATCAGCACAAGTAAAACTGCCAGCACCAGTGGCATCGCCGTATGGGCCACCGTGACTGGGCAGCGGTTGAGAGAATCAACAAGGAGCAGCTAGCGACCGGCATGACGGTAAGCGACTGTGGGTTGAAGCTAGTTTGTGAGTGCTGTTTGGAAGGGAAATCAGCTAGGGCTCCCTTTCCGGCGGTGATAGAGCGAAAATCATCCCAAGTGTTGGACATCGTGCACACCGATCTGTGTGGCCCGATGAAGACAGTCTCGCCTAGTGGAAATCGGTATGTTATGAACCTCGTAGATGACTAAATACAGCCGGTTTAATGTAACCTACTTGCTCAAGAACAAATGGGAGGCCACCGAAATTATCCAGGAATATGTAAGATGGGTAGAAAATTTGTTCGGCCGTAAACCTCGGGTCATTCGGTCGGACGGAGGTGGGGAATTTGATAATAGAGAGTTACAGAAATTCTACAAAGAAGAGGGCATCAAAGCACAGTTTACCGCCCCCCAACTCACCGCAGCAGAATGGGGTGGCCGAGCGTAAAAATCGGTCGCTCACCGAAATGGCAACATGCATGCTGCTGGATGCGAATCTGGACAAGCGCTTTTGGGGCGAGGCCGTGCTCACTGCTACATACCTCCAGAACCGGCTACCATCGAGATCGGTTCAGAAGACTCCCTACGAACTGTGGTGGGGAAGGAAGCCGAAATTGGGGCACCTACGAGTGTTCGGTAGTGTGGCCTACGTCCATGTGCCTTCAGTGAAACGGGGCAAGATGGATAGCAAGGCACGAAAGCTGGTTTTTGTCGGCTATTCGAACGAGCACAAAGGCTACCGATTCGTTGATCTGGAGTCAGACGCGATTACGATTAGTCGCATCGTCAGTGGAAATTCCTGTTGTGAGTGAACCTTCGTGCGTAGAAGAGTTTGCTGATGAAGATGAGGAGAAAAAGGCAAATAATCACGACGAAAATGGAGCTTCGGTTGACTCAGTGCAGGATGATTTCTATGAAACGGATGAACAAGGTCATGAAGCTGACGCTGACCTACGGAGATCCGGAAGACAGAATCGTGGTAATCCGCCGTGGTATCTCGAAGATTACGTGTTTGATGAAGTCGTCGGATTTGCTGTCAGTGCTTACGAGAAGCCGAACAACTACAAGGAAGCTATGAAGGAACCGAAGTGGCGCAGAGCCATGGAGGACGAGCTTGACACGTGCCAGTGCTTACGGACAGAGAGGTGCAACCGCAGATCGAAACACATCGATACTCGTGAGCGTTTCGTCCATGAATTGTGTGAAAGCAAGCAGATCGAGCTTAAGTATTGTTCGACGGAGCTGATGGTAGCGGACATATTTTCAAAACACCTTGGTCCGCAGAAGCATGAGCGTTTTTGTCAAATGCTCGGGCTGAATAACAGTGAATGAAGTCGCGTCTCATTGAGGAGTAGTGTGGAGAGTGACAATGAGCACACCTTCATATGTAATGTGCATTGGCACACCCCTCATCGATTGCTATACCTCCGTGAGCGCAAGGTACGAAAGAGAAGAAGAACACAGTGACAATAAAACCGAACTAATATCGACTGAGTAATATCGACTAAGACTGTATAACGTTTCACCTGAATAAAACGTTTTCCATTAAAAGGCATTTTCTCCGCGTGTGTTTAATCTGATTCCGAAAGTCCAATGCATTTGAAAATCACTTTGACGTAACTGGTAGCTCGTCCACGCACACTAACACCACTATCAAGTAGGGCAAATGGAAGTAACGGAGTCCAGCATCCGTAAAAATCTTCTTTTGACAAGTCAAACACATGTCCCCGGACAAAGTTGCCACAGAAATCGCCGCCGGAAGAGAGGATCGGTTTACCACATCGGTCCTCGATATTCAATTATCGAACATTAAAGCCGCTGGTTTATTCGCCATGTA